CTGATTTTAATTCTTGGGCTACCAGATCTTTTGGTTTACTTAAAATGTAAGATTGTAATAGTTTTTGGGTTGTTGCTTAGAAGTTTTGGATATATGACTGTGTTGTCATTTTCATAGCTTGTATTGGTTGTATTTTTTCATGAGTATCCACTTTGTTGCAAGATGTTGTATAGGCAGACTATTTCCTTTTTCTGGTGTTCTGGGTTGTTGCAGTGAGTTTTTGCTTGTCTGAATAATGTTCCTCTTGTGAGAGGTTGAGTTGTTATTTATATATATGGCAAATTGCCTTTGTTTCCTTTGCTAATGTGGACTTCTGTTTTCTTCTTCCTTTGTGAATTTTATTCCTTTGAAGATGTTGGGAATTGATTTCTATGTCTTTCTCCAGTTATTCCGTTTTATCATTGCATATAATTGTATTTAGTTATTTTATGTTCGAAGTCAGTTTCTATCCTGGCCTCCTTGTTTTATTTACTCTAGTACTTGATGACAATCAGAATTTAGGCAGAGCAATATTATCCAAGACCTCGCCCACAAACTGCATCAAAAGCCATAGGGGAAAAACAGATTACAAAGCTATTAAAATTGAGGTATGGACTGTTAGGCCACAAAATCTAAATAATAGCTTGGGATCCATGATCAAGCAGTGTGGACAATACAATACAATAGCAGAGTTGGAAGCGACCTTGGAGGTCTTCTAGCCCAACCCCCTACCTAGGCAATAAACCCTATACCATTTCAGAAAAATAGCTATCCAAAGACTTCTAGTGTTGGGGCATTCACAACTTCTGGAGGCAAGCTGTTCCACTGATTAATTGTTCTAAGTGTCAGGAAATTTCTCCTCAGTTCTAAATTGCTTCTCTCCTTGATTAGTTTCTACCCATTGCTTCTTGTTCTACCCTCAGGTGCCCTGAAGAATAGTTTGACTCCCTCTTCTTTGTGGCAACCCCTGAGATATTGGAACACTGCTATCATGTCTCCCCTAGTCCTTCTTTTCATTAAACTAGACACACCCAGTTCCTGCAACTGTTCTTCATATGTTTTAGCCACCAGTCTCCTAATCATATTTGTTGCTCGTCTCTGTACTCTTTCTAGAGTCTCAACGTATTTTTTATTTTTGCAGTCTAGATCAATAAAGTGAAGTATTGACTAACAGAATAACAATAACAGAGTTTGGAATGACTTTGGAGGTCTTCTTTCCTGCTCAACCAAGAAGTACTTTTTTAATTTTA